GTTAAAAATAATACCAAAGCACTCAATGGTGCAGGGTCTGGAGCGGTAGATCTTTATTAAGCTGTCCAAGGGATGTTCTGCTCTTACGGAAAAAATACTCAACACTGTTACCACAAAAGACCACTATAACTGGGCCTTATCCTGAGCCTGATCCAATTCATATCTTCACGACCTACTTCTCATTGATCTACTTTAATATTATACTCTCATCTACATTTATGTCTGTCTAAAGTGCTCTCTTCCCACGAGGTCTTCCATCCAAAATTTTATATGCAGTTAAAAACAATACAAGGACCACAAATTAGTGTTTTTGGGGCCGACTGTGAAATAGACACAACTTGGAAATACTGTCTGAGATGCGCCAGAAGATGGAAGTTTCAAGTGTCTTCACACAGGGTGGTCAAAATTGGCTGAAACATGCTTGAGAGAATAAAAATGTAAACAGTAAGCAGTGGTTTTACTGCTCATATATATACATATTGTAATATGAATAATTCATGTTTCAAATTTTGGAAAACTGTTATGTCGCTAGCTAATAATATACTTCTTGTTTGCTGTTGCTTAAAGATATTTAGTGTTGTGCAAATAATCATAACACTTTTGTTATAAAACTGTAATATAATTAATGTAATTACACTTTGGTCATTTTGTTAATAAGGGCATGTAGTACAAAATGAAAGTTATGTAACTAGGGTAATCAGGCGTGTTTCAAGGACTCTCCGTATCTCAATTTATAACATCCAATACAGTGAGCAAAAGTAAAAAAGTTGGTAATTAATCATACAATAATAATTTATATACTGGAATATTAATGTTATTGTTATGAACATAGTAGCCGGTTTACATATTTGTCATGTACGTGTTTTTCCTCATTCGGTTGAAATTGCATTTCTGAAAAATATCCGTAAAATATACCACCTTCCCACAGAATTATACTTTTATTCACAAGTTGAGTGTTTTATAGATTCTTCTTTCCGTGTACGCGAGTACTAACGGAGATTTGATATTATGATACAACACATCAAAGAGAAGTGTTAGCGCAATGTTGTCGACATGAATTGTTTACAAGTATTTAAATGAAACTAAGAAAATTGTTAAAAGTAATTAGTATTAAAAAGTAGGAACATAAATATAAATTGGAGGTAGGATTATTTGTTACATTCAAGATGGCCTATGATTATATTGTGTATATTTTTTGGTCTGACTTTCAACAGACCATGCTCAAGACTTTTTGATTATGATGAGAATCTTTGATCAATTAAGTATGTAGTTATAGCTTTGTGAAGGAACAGATCTATAATATAAGGTCAGTTTGTGATCTCACTGAAACTTGAATTGTGCAAATGAGCACTAGAGTAAGTGTCTTGTGATCTGTATGTAGTCTTTCATCAGTGTTATTGTCAAGTCAACAAAATTATGTATGGTGACCCTTTCATTATAGATGCCATGTTTAGTTTATGTGTGACGTATTATAACGTGACCTTAGTAAATTTCAGTGTTTTGTAATAATGAAGCATATCTGTAAAAAGGATCTGTTAAGTTGAAATTGGGAAGGAGCACTCATTTATTTCATGCACAAAATATATTTTTATTACCATTAGTATTTCATTGGCTGTGAACAGATTTTTTTTTTAGACAAATTTAAGCTATGTACGTATCCTATTCGACTCACGAAGAATTACGTCAAGTGATAAAGTAAGAAAGTAGCCAAAGTTGTTTGTTTTCTGACTAATGATGCATAATTTCATGTGATCATGTGTTGTTTATTGTTGTCATATGCACAAATTGTAGTTGTATCTATTTTATTTTTATTCTTATGACAATTTCAGAAGAAAGTTGATTTTCCTGACTTGGTAAACATGGCATTCAACACCACTGTTTAAATTTCGTACTGTATGATCAAAAGAAATTTTGTATTTATATCAGTTCAGTCTAAGAAAGGTCACTGCAGAAGGCAATGAATGAGACAAGCAGAAGCTTTTATATATTTGCTGCGTGATGTGACACATTCATTGTCCCAGACTTTTCAAATTTGTTATTTTAATATTCTGTGCAGAAGCAAAATACCGAGCATAAGATACCATTTTTTGTAAGAAAGTTACTATAGATTTAGATTTTTTATATACAATATCATAGATCTATTTTAGACTCAAGAGACATGAAACACTTAATTAAAATGAATTTCTATCAGCAGTTGAACCCGAGCTTGCCTATTCATGGGACAAAAAGATATGTATCTTATTATAAGGGTTACAGAATAAATTCTGATCCTTTTGAACCATAATGAATTATACTATTAGGGTGATATTTGATTTTTGTCCTTTTGAATGGAAGGACAGTTGACGCTGCATTGTCATCCAGCTCACAAATACGCCGTGATAAGAAATTATCAAAATTTAAAGTAAGTGCCACATAAGTATACATCTGTTCCTGTTTGTGTGTAAGTATGTTATTAACTTATGTGGCTAAGTGTGAGCTTGACGGTAAATATTAAACTTCAGAATTTGCCAGCTGTTCGAACAGACAACACGCTACTTCTCTTACGGGGAGTGTGATGTAAAGTTTGTATCTTGATTAAGATTTACGAACTGGGATTATAAAATGGTATCCAAACCAGAATGAATTATATTTCATTACCAGTAATAATAAGAATTATTATTATTATTATTCCATCTATTCACCACTTTATAGGGTATTTACTTCTATGTACCCGAGACAAACCTTGCCCCTGAGGTACATTGTGCAGCAGCTATTTCCGAAATACATTTTGTTTTTAATATGTGCTACATGTATTATATAGTTTTATTGTGAGGGATGACTGTATATTTTACGACATTATTATTATTATTTACATAACTTGAAAACTATTTACAATATTTTTAGGGAGGGGGGATGAAAAATAATTATGCTAGTATCCATTTATCACAGAGATCAGAGCAGTGTTTCAAACTGTGGTCTCTGGAGGTTGAACAGCACCCAAGCACATTCTTGTAGGTTCAGAAAGAATGGGAAAGTAATATTGTCATTTAAACACCCTTAACATGCTTTTTGGTATGCATGATTTTGAGCCAGTTCCATCCACCACCCAGTCTTCCAAGTTAGCACTTTTCAATGGATTTCTTCATCAAAATCCTTTATGCATTTTTATTGTCCCAATGTGAATTACATGTTTCACAAATGTCACTTGAAATAAAATGTAAACATGGGAATTCATATTTGATTTAAGCATTTGCATAATATTTGAAGCCATTGTCTTTTATGAGACATCTATTTGCAGTCAAGTTTTGTTATCTCCTTGAAAATAGGTGGGCTGGTGATGTTATCATACTTAATAAACTACATATTGTTCATAAATATTAATAATAAGTAAATATAAAAAAAATGGCATTCAAAATTAAGGGTCACCATGTTTTAAATGTAGAAGTAGTATATTTATTGTATTGGGGATGCTGTTTGTGTACAACATGTCTCAATGTAAAGTTTCTACTTCCACAGGAGCATTGCTAGGATCGTCGGATGATGATATCATTGACGTAGTGTTTTGTGCTTATAAAACCTTCTTGATTGGTTAGAAGTATTGATCATCTGATTAGTGAAGCTAAGATTATTTGGAAATCTGATAAAAGAGTTGAATAATCCATGCACAGTGATATTCATGTGTTCATCGCACTGATTTTGGTTTATGTGAAAATTTTCAACTGAGAGCAGGAACTGGAATGATATTCCAGCAGACTTGAATTAATTACATGAATCATTTAAGTGCCAATTAAATAACATTTCTGCATGCTCTCTTCTAATCAAAGTTAAAACTCTTCTGCATTTTTTATTGTCTTGCATCTCTCCATTATGTATTTGGTTAAATAATAAAATTCTTCATTGTAAATAATGATGTAAATTTTACGACACAATATGAAAATGTGAATGTACATTTCGTATTTGGTTAAATAAGAAAATTCTTCACAATATGAAAATGTGAATGTACATTTGGGGTGCACATATTTTTTAGATATTACTTTGTGATTTTGTATGTCTTGCTGGCGTTGGTCCTCATTTATTGGAGACACAAATCTCTTATTGCAAAACCGATCACATCATGAATTACTTCTTATTTTCAGAAGAAGAGGAATTACGAACCTTGGATAATTCATCAGGTCACTGAATGAGAAGTACTGTTTGTTAGTGACATAACTGGATTTTAATCAGGAGAATTTTGTGATGCACTATTCTTATTTTCGACCAACCTTTCATATAACCCTTTCTTTTTTCTGTAAAAGGGAAGATATTTTTAGTGGTGGGATCTATTGTTAACCTAGCAGTGCTTCTGCTTGTTGTGCCTGTATTATACAGATGTGTGTGCAGATAAATTATATACAAGAAGACACTGATCTCGATGTATGCAAACAAATATATACTTATCTGGGACATTCATTTTTAAAAGTGTGTTTACTTTATTGTAAATGTCTCCTAATTTCACGTAACGAACTCGGCATGCATTGGATATTAATCCCGTCACCCATTCATAAAATAAAAACACCACCATTTCAATATACCACCATATGTCTAAAAGAGTTTTCATTTTCCCACTCAAGAAATTCACTCTTTGGTTCAGTATCTCCTTTGACGAGTTCATTCACCTGGTAAATAAAATCTAAGCTGTTACAGATTCTTAAAGTTAATCACTTATACTTTCACTGGACTCTGTTGAAACAGTTTCATGAAGTCCACACTTTAACGTTATATTTCTCCGTGATTCCTATCTTCAACTAGGTCAGTGAAACTTTAGATTCCCATGGTGGTGAGTATAAAGATATCTCCTGGCTTGCTGCCTCAGTGAGTAACCCACACAATCAAACAGGTAACTAAAGCAGAGTCTTGTACAAGCGCAAGATATTGTCCCTTGCTACATCAGACCACTTCTGTGTTCGAAACGCACGTGCTTATGCTAATAGATTTGTTGTCGTGGCTGAAGGCCTTAACATGTTCAGACTACGAGACAGGCACTGCAGTGTCGGAAGCTTCTTACGTTTACATCTGACGATTGTGGGGAGTGATCGACAGGTCCTATGCTTCCTATCCATTGGTCGAGAAAAAAGTACAATTACAAAACGAAAAAAGAAGACGGAAACCAAAGGAATGTTGTCTAGTAATAACCTTCAGATGAGTTTAGCAATTGCACTGTTCCACACATAATCTAGTCAAGCCAGCGATAACCTACGCGACACAGCGATAGAAACCAAGATCAGGCACACCGTGAATAAACAGTTTCATCTGTAAGCTCGTACCGCTGCCGTAGGACTGCTCTTACAGACGTGATGTGGCCGTTCTATGGGTGGTGTCGAAGTAAGGCTCGTCTTGACGGGAAGACAGCCATCATTACAGGCTGTAACACTGGCATCGGGAAATTCACGGCCTTGGACTTCGTTCGACGCGGTTAGTATGAAACGCTCAACAGACATAATATTTGTGAAGTAAAAATTATAAAATATTCAAGGTAGGCCTGTGTTCGAAGATGGCTGTCTTCTGGGTTGTAGCGCCGTGTTAGACGTCGCAGAGGTCCCTGCTGCCTCCGCCATCGCCATGATGACTGCGCTACAACTCGGATGACAATCATCTTCGAACTCACCGCCGTGAAAACTTTAAATCCTATCTAGTTATGTGTTATTCTCATGCAGAACACGGTATCTTCTGATTATTTGCTCACAGTTTGTGTGACGGATTCAAAATGGATTTAAAACCGGAAAAATAAGCCTCAGAAAAGTTATGTTCTCATAAAATGTAATTTTCTCCCTTCAAAATATCCCCATACCTCGTGCGTCATTAATCTATTTTTGTTTAATTCGATCATATATGGATCCTCAACTGTTAAATAGAGTTGAACGGTGCGGATTGGATTCATATGGCTAATGATAGTAGGAGCAGTTGGTGGACTTTCGTGAACATGGTAATGAACCTTGTGGTTACATAAAAGACGGGGAATTTCTTGACTACTGTCAGCTACTAAAGTCAGTCAGTGGGTAAATTCGCAGGTCGGCCTTGTGTACGGTAACCTAGCTCTCTACTTTCCCACAGGGGCCAGAGTCATCATGGCGTGCCGCGACACCAAGAAGGCCTCGGAGGCTGCTCAGGAGATACGTATGATGACAGACGGACTTGAGGGCGCGGGAGATGTGGTGGTTGTGCGATTGGATCTCTCGTCCTTAACCTCAGTGCGTGAGTTCGCAGCGAACATTCTGTGCAATGAACCACGTATACACCTGCTGATCAACAACGCTGGTGAGTGAGTGAGAATTCTACGACAAAATCATGGTCATATATTCTTAGAGTGCGCTGTACACTCCTAAACGGACCTCAAATTCAGGCGAGAGTGTGGATTCAACTGGCTCATGATAAGGTCAAATGACAGGATTTTGTGAATACGGCTATGAACCTTCAAGTTTGGTAAGAGGTAGACTTTTTTTTTTATAAACCTATCGATAATCAGCCTCTGAAGTGAGACTCCGCGCCCCTTGGATTGAATTTTAAGGCTTCAGAAATCTGAAAAGTGAATTCTAGTACCGGGCAAACCCTCTCTCATCGGGAGTTAAGACGGAGACAACGTGAAGCCGAACATAGAAATTTACAACCGTCGAGAAAGGGCGATGTGGTTGGGAAAGTTTGAGAACCCCTGCTCTATTGAAAGGAACTTAATTTTGTGCGCAGGCGTGATGTGTTGCCCAAAGGGGCTCACAGAAGATGGATACGAGATGCATCTCGGAGTGAATCATCTGGGACACTTCCTTCTGACGTGTCTGCTCCTTCCGAGAATCCTGAGCAGCAAGCCCGCTCGCATCGTCAACGTGGCCTCTCACGCCCACTACAGTGAGTATCTCTGTCCGCAATTTGAGTACCTGCGCAACTGTTGTGAGCAGCGGCCTAGCAACGAGGGTCATGGGACACGTTGGGAGAGAGTATTTTACACGACGGGGGTTGGACATGCTTCAAGTTCATTTTTGTACAGTTGTGCGTGACTGTCTTTGGGTTGCGTTTTAAATTGTACACCCTGTACTCCGATCCAGTTGTGACGTCCGGGGTGGTCTTTAACGCAGTAGGTGTTAATCGTTGTTATGCGTTCTTTGTTCGATGTGTACGAAATGAACACATGGGATGTCAGCTACTAAAGTCAGTCAGTGGGTAAATTCGCAGGTCGGCCTTGTGTACGGTAACCTAGCTCTCTACTTTCCCACAGGGGCCAGAGTCATCATGGCGTGCCGCGACACCAAGAAGGCCTCGGAGGCTGCTCAGGAGATACGTATGATGACAGACGGACTTGAGGGCGCGGGAGATGTGGTGGTTGTGCGATTGGATCTCTCGTCCTTAACCTCAGTGCGTGAGTTCGCAGCGAACATTCTGTGCAATGAACCACGTATACACCTGCTGATCAACAACGCTGGTGAGTGAGTGAGAATTCTACGACAAAATCATGGTCATATATTCTTAGAGTGCGCTGTACACTCCTAAACGGACCTCAAATTCAGGCGAGAGTGTGGATTCAACTGGCTCATGATAAGGTCAAATGACAGGATTTTGTGAATACGGCTATGAACCTTCAAGTTTGGTAAGAGGTAGACTTTTTTTTTTATAAACCTATCGATAATCAGCCTCTGAAGTGAGACTCCGCGCCCCTTGGATTGAATTTTAAGGCTTCAGAAATCTGAAAAGTGAATTCTAGTACCGGGCAAACCCTCTCTCATCGGGAGTTAAGACGGAGACAACGTGAAGCCGAACATAGAAATTTACAACCGTCGAGAAAGGGCGATGTGGTTGGGAAAGTTTGAGAACCCCTGCTCTATTGAAAGGAACTTAATTTTGTGCGCAGGCGTGATGTGTTGCCCAAAGGGGCTCACAGAAGATGGATACGAGATGCATCTCGGAGTGAATCATCTGGGACACTTCCTTCTGACGTGTCTGCTCCTTCCGAGAATCCTGAGCAGCAAGCCCGCTCGCATCGTCAACGTGGCCTCTCACGCCCACTACAGTGAGTATCTCTGTCCGCAATTTGAGTACCTGCGCAACTGTTGTGAGCAGCGGCCTAGCAACGAGGGTCATGGGACACGTTGGGAGAGAGTATTTTACACGACGGGGGTTGGACATGCTTCAAGTTCATTTTTGTACAGTTGTGCGTGACTGTCTTTGGGTTGCGTTTTAAATTGTACACCCTGTACTCCGATCCAGTTGTGACGTCCGGGGTGGTCTTTAACGCAGTAGGTGTTAATCGTTGTTATGCGTTCTTTGTTCGATGTGTACGAAATGAACACATGGGACTAATGGGTGGATTTTGATTAAATTTGGAATGGAAGGTAAGCCATTCTGTTTGATGCCATATGACCTATTCAGTCAACAAACAGACGATTACTCTGCGTGTTTCAGTCGGAACAATCGACTTCGAAGATCTGAACTGGGAGAAATCCTACAGCCCAACTTTTGCGTACTCCAGGAGCAAACTGGCAAACGTTCTGTTCACCAAAGAATTAGCCACCAGGACACAAGGCAAGTCAATAATCTACGTCCAGTTTCACAAACTTAAGACAATGTTGAAGTGGAACTCACAATTACGTCCTCTACGGACTTAAAAATTAAAACAATACCAACAAATTATAATATAAACCTCTGATATAATACAGAGTGTCCTAAAATTCACTTAATCCGAAGTTTATAAGCGAGAGACTATACCAAATAGCAGGTAAGTTACATTTATTTACGATTTTATAAAGCAGACAAAAGATTCTAAACTGCAAGGTAGCAAGTAATCTCTTATTATAGTCCGCTCTTAATTGTCTCGTAAATGCAGTTCCGATTTGCGACTTCCCCAAATTTCCATTTACGACAGGGACCGGGGTGACGACCTACTCAGTGCACCCTGGAGTAGTAGCCACGGGGCTTGGCAGACATTTGGACACGGCTTTCTTCAAGGGCATTACATGGCTGTTCGACAACATAGGGAAGCTTTTTATCAAAACGCCGGAACAGGGGGCGCAGACCACCATCTACTGTGCAGTAGACGAGCGGACCAAGAACGAGACTGGTCTCTACTACAGGTGATTGACTCGACTCTTGAAATTGGGTCTCTTCTCGGATGTTGCATCATGTCGTCCGATAGATACTTACCGACGTTTCAGAGGCGTTTTCTGCCCCCATCATCGGAGTGATGTGTATTCATCGCCGTAAAGATGGAGTCAGTTAAGCATTTCCGAAACGTCGGTCAATATCTACAAGACTACAAGGCGCAATATCCAAGAAGACAGCCATCTTCATAATCGCACTCCGAACCACAAGTATCCTAAGATTTAAGATGTTTCGAGGTTGTCTTCAGTTACTAGCCGTAACCCCTGAGTTGCTCCAGCTTTATTTGTATATTTCGAAGGAAATTCACTGACGACACAAAAGCAGGTCGGTTTCAGGACTACTTATTTCGTCCCCAGAATGCAAAATATATTTATACGTGGCAAATGATTGGCGACAGTCATCTCCGAAACGTCGGAAACAGCTAGTAGCCCGATAATACATCATTACTAGACGACTGTGATCAGAACTCATTGACGTCTTGATGAATGAATTGAGAGTGAACTAGATCCCCTTGTCCAAGTTGATTAATAAGAAATATCTGAATCCAGTGATTGCAGACGTTTCCCGACGTTGGCCAAGGCACGTGACAAAGAGGTGGCCAGGAAGTTGTGGGACGTGAGTAAGTGTCTCGTGGGCCTCGAAGACTGGGACCCCCTCACAGCACCGGACACCAACGGACAACCGACAGTCGGCAATTAGGCAGGTTGGGGCAGTGCCCACTTAAAATATTAACTCAGACTAGGACGTATACGATAATTCTATTGCTCCTTGAAAGTTATTTTATGTGATCAGAATTTCGATAAACTTTAGTATCTGAAAAAAAAGTTACAAATCCTTCTACGGATCTTTTCACAGCATAAACAGACATAAACCTCGCCGATGTTCTACTAACTTTTTCGCTCGTCCAGTTAAAAAAAAGTCAAATGAGCTCCTTCGACTTGTTTACAGTGAAGAAGAAGAAGAAGAAGGAAAGAGTTTATAAAATCCTTGACATTTATTTTAAATGTAATAATTACTGCAATATCTAAAATTCATTTAATTAAATGGATGTTTGCCCTTCACACACAACAAACACATTTATTAGATACAAAATTATGTCAGTAGTATTTAAGATACTATGAAGCGACATGTTTCGGCCTATTATATGGCCGTCTTCAGGTTCCTCTCAAAGATTAAAAGATACGAAATGTCTTTGTTGTGTGTGACGGAAAAATGTTATTCATTTTCCTGCATGACGCTAGAATATGATATTAAATGCAGACCTAAATTCTTTACGCGAGAATGTGACCCACAATTCCACCTAATATTATTAACGAACGATAATTTCCTTCGTCTATTTCATTGTCTACCATAGTAACAAATTGCCAATGCAAATTAAACATAACTATTCGACAAAAATAGTCATTCAATCACGGCGACAACCAAACAAATTGAAATAGAAATACTTCACTCAAGCGCAGCGGCTAAACCTGACAACACAAGAGAAAGGCACACACAAATATTTAAACGGGACCCTCGTACATCAACGTCCATTCAACCAATACATCCATGAAGAATTCAGTCCAACTCACCGTTTCGCGTTGCTCCCATTGTTGCTGGCACCAAGACGTGAAGTGATGGATCAGATAAGACATTGTTGCACTCACTATACACATGAACACTGTTACGTCCACTGTAGTCCACTTATTTAAAACTTTCACTTCAAACACTAAAACAAGACGCTGTAAATTCCTACAAGATTAGGGGTTAAGTCACTTAAATCCGCGAAAAGACACTTTTCATTAAAATATACAGCGTTATTTTTAAATATTTTACGACAGATTCAAACGAATTAGTGTTAACGCGGACAAACATTCATAACTTGAGTGGGATTCGAACCCACGGTCCCACTGACCAAGCGGCCACTGTGACGGCTAAGAAGCTCACGAACTGGTACAATAGCATTTCCAACACAAAACATGACCACAGTGGGACTGCTACCTGACGTCAGGCAACGTTCGTCTTTATGAGTCAAAGCGGGGAGCAACTAGAAAAACATTGCTATTACAAAATGTGTTTTAGTGATCCAATATTTACTCAAGAAAATATTTTTGACTGGATTACGAGTTCCAAAGTATTTCCCTTGAGCTCAGCGTTCAAAAAGGCACATCTCAAGTCACTGAAATAATTACTGTATTGCATATTTGAGAACAGAATTAACATTTGTTAGTAATTTCATTAAACACATATTTTAATTTTATAAAATATTTACCACCATTTCAAACATCACGACAAAAACGAGATTTTTTTTCCTTCAAAATTTCTTTTGTATGTCAGTGTTAAAATGTATTGGCTATCCGGATGACGAACATGTCACAATAATGGTTTGATTTCTGTAAGCCACTGAAAATTATATTGCTTTACTAATTTTTCCACTAAAATATTAATAACGTTCGTTTAGTGATACTTCTGTACAAACTGAAACTTTCTAATAGTTATTTTGAAATGACCACTAACCTAAAGATGACGTCATTCAAATTTCATGGAAGGAAGTTGGTGGCCATATTCAAAACTAGCGCTAATGGAGACTTTTGTAAACTAAGTAATTTATAGGCTTGTAAAGAAATTTAATTACTTCATAAAATATATCTAGTTTATTGTAAATATATTCTATATTATTAACCTATTTCAACGTAGTTGTTACCCTATGTCTGTCACATAGCGAAATTAAGCAGACTACTTTGGACTGTACAAAGTAATAGTTCCGTAATACGTAACCTCAGAACGAATTGTGTCACTTTAGCTGACAGGTATTTTAACCTGAAAATCGTCAAGAATCTTGTCGAGAGTTCGATTTTTAATTAACTTATACAACACACTATTGATAATTAAATAAAATTCAAACTTACAATTATAATTCCGGATTTTATTGTTCCCAACACCTAAAATGGCTGGACGAAAAAGTCAAGAAACTTCTACTAACAAACGCCGCAAGGGATGCGCCGACAGCAGTGACACCACTCGAACCAAAAGAAAAAGAAGAAAAAAAAAAAAAAGAGAAATGAATCCCGTACACGAGTATCTTGTTCCGTCTTCCTTTTCATATCAAAGTTCAATCGGAATAAGTAATCATTTCTCGATTCTCGAATGCGATAGCAACATGGCGTATGGCGATTAGATATTTTAGCGCGTTTCATAATGGAATATTTATCGTATTTTAATATTACATCCCAAAACCTTTCTCGTGTTTCCTAATGCTCACAAGTTTTGTAATTGCAATTAACTAAAACAATTGTTATGTGTAAAGCGTTTCATAATAGCATTCTTCGACAATGCATTCAATTAGTATTTTAGCGCGTTTAATATTTAAAACGTGTTTCGTAATTACAGTAAACAATAAATAAAACGACTACGACTCACAGAGTGTTTTATAAAGATATTTTGTTTGTTATTTGAAACCAATCTACTTGATTACAAGTCTAGCGCGTTTAATAATCCGCGTTATTTTCACGGATTATCTGACGACGCTGTCGAAGGATAGCCGAGATTTAAACCTGGGACCCCACATATTGATCCCGACATTCAGTGGGGTTCTTTAACGTCAATAAACGTAACACTGAACGATTACTGTATATATAGCGCGTTTCATAACTCGATCTCATATTGTAATTATAAAGTAGCAAATTCGATTACAACTATAATGACTTTTATGACGTCCGCGATTGATTTTAACTGCATTAAAGCACAACGTAGTGCTGCATATAACGCGTTTAATAAGACATTAATTACAGTATAAGCCCGATTACAAAATTAGCATGTTTAATAATTCTTACGTACTACTCTACATAATAAATATCTTCTTCCCGATTGTCGAAAGCGATAAGATCATTCCGTAATGCTACTAAATGTCTTAGCGCGTTTCATAATATAAACATTCCTTATCGTTAGAATTTACTATTCTTTCTCGTTCCACTTGTAGAACCGCTCCTGAAGGAGAAGTTTATCCATCACATGAATATTAGTGTTCAATAATTACTCTCAATAAATAATACAGGATGTTCCAAAAATATGTTTGTACACACACATTCAATGAAATAGACATTTTAATAAACCAAACCATTACACACATTTGCAATGTGCAAGAGTCTGACACGTGGCCACTGAAGTTGCTGTTGTGAATCCATCTTTTTGGGGGCATTGCGTTTATTGCCAGGATCCTGTTGCTCATAACCGCCCCATGTCTAAAATATCTCTCATGCTAATGTTACGTGACTGTATTAATTAAATACTTCATTGACACATACAGTGCATAATCGATAATGTTTATTTCTCTACGCGTAATCAATTGCTATGGTTTTAACAACTGCAGCGGTCGCCATGGCAACGAGACTCAATCAAAAGTGAATAATAACTCGACTGTCAGTTCACAGAAATAGAACAAAACACGATTAATTGATTTTAATGGGTTTTGTGAAGAAAGGATGTAACTTCATTTCATACCACAAACCTGTGGGAAATTAACAAGCACTGACCATCGGTTAGCAGTTAAGGTGTGGCCCGGAGGGGGTGGGGGGCAATGGGTGTCCGCTAAACCCTAATGAACGACAGTTTACTTCACAAAACAGAAGAATTTTTACGATAGTATGAAATTACTGCAAAACTGAAAAACAGACACACTAATAAATACGTGAAGGTTTCAAAGCTGCTTTAAAATCAAATTAAATTTGTAGTTTTAAGAGCTGTGAGTGGATCGTACATCGTCAGAACACGTTAAAATGTATTTCTGGAAATCTGTATGGCCATTGTGTTGAAGCCCGACGTAAAAGACTTTGCTTTTGGCTTGTTTATTTAAGATTGTGTTTTTTTATTTCGACGTCTCTTCTTTTCTCACCTTATTTATTCCATTCCTTTATACCTTTAATTCCTCTACAATCCTCTTCAATTATTACATCACAGCTGTCCGCGTGATCGACCCCGCCCAGCCCTTAAAAAGTTAATTGTATTGCGTGTTGCTATGAATCGGCGTGTTTGAAGTGGCGGTCTCCGTAGGGGAACCTGAAAACAGACGAGAATCGAACCACTTACCACCAAGGGATCGCAGAGTTACCTACCTT